GAACTGAATGCTGGGAGAAAGACGGCAGGGAGGGAGAGCTGCCATGGAGCATCAAAGTCAGACATGCTGAATCTTTCCAGGTAAGCCATGACCTCATGGTGAACACAGATTAATAGAAATGGGTTAGATCAAGATGTGACAGCCAATAAGAGGCTAGACATAATGGGTCAGGCAGTAATTTAATTAATACAATTTCAGTGTGGTCATTTTGGGGGTTAAGCTAGCCAGGCAATGGGACACAGCCTGTGCTCCTCTTACTACAGGAGATGAAAGCAATTAGAACACAGGTGAAGAGACATGGCATTTCAACTGTCTAGCTACCATCTTCCACTACATTATGTGGCCTGGACAATCAACATTGATCTTTGGACTGATAACATTCTTTTTATCCTCAAAGGAAAAGGATCACATAGTAGCTAGGCCTAGATTTTTTTTCAGTCCTAAACATGTCGTATTTTAAACAGCACTGCATAATGGTCTTTCTACTTGAATGAATAGGACATTCTCCTAATGTTCAGAAAAATCATTTTGTAAATAGCAACAGGATATTAATACCATGTCCAAGAGTATATGAGCAATACAACTGTTATTGATGATGAGTTACTGATCAACTACATCACTTTATTGATAGCCATAATAAAGCCTTTCATGTAGGAAGCTGAACAAGGTCATGAGGTTAGCTGAGTTCTCATGTCCAGGAAACAATTGAACATGAACAACATGCAGGATAGAGTCTCTCATGCTAGAGCAGAATTTCCTGAGATGTGTGCCTGAGTACCCTGGCCCTGCCAGGGATCTGGGACCAAGCAGAAACTTGTGATTTCCTTGGGGTTATAGCTGGGAACCTGAGTCCTGGTTCTCTTTGGGAATTGGTAACAGCATACTCTGAGAAGGTTCTGATCTTATCTGCAGCTGAGGCATCTGCCTGTGTCATCCTGGAGAGTTCTTAACCTATTCTATTCAGAGAATAGTTTGCACAGGAAATGGGTAATATTGCAGAAAACAAAGTTCAAAGGTGGGATTCTCTTCTCCACAAGGGATGTTCCTAAATAAAAGTGTTATTTCAGCCAGGTGTGGTGCTACACACATTTCAATCCCATTACTTTGGAGCTGAAGCAGGCAGATCACTGCCAGTTCAAGAAACTTCTGCTCAGAACATAGAGAGTTGAGAAGGGAGGAAGGGAGACTCAATTCCGGAGACACACTGAGTATCAAATGTACTGTTTTCTGGACAGAATTTCTTGTTGATTGGACCAGGACAATTCTCTTAGGTATTTTTCCCTGGTTCAATTGGAAACCATACATGTGAGCAGAAGACAATAAAAGACAGAGATCCCAGGTAAAAGGGACCCACTGGGCTCTACTTCCTCCCCAACCCTGGGTTCCTACCTCAGCTGGGAGAATTCAAAGTGATGCTGTAGCTTTTCTGCCAAGTCCTTTTCCTGCATGGGCATTTCCCTCTGCCTCCATAGGAACTGAAGACTTTCCTCCAATCTCTTGAGCTCCAGTTCATTAGAAGACTGTGTTGTTAGTGGAGGGTCACAGACCATCATACATCTCTAGGCACATACAAAGGATCCAAATAGCTCGCTGGTCAGCTAGGTAGACAAAACAGTAAAAGCACCCAGGAGAGTTAGAAACCCAGATTCAATTTAGAGACTGATCAGAAACAGAGTAGTCTCCTTTAGCCAATCACACACAAGATCACCTAAATACTTATACTACTACTACTACTACTATCACCACAACCCACACACACAAACACACACACACACACACACAGAGAGAGAGAGAGAGAGAGAGAGAGAGAGAGAGAGAGATGAAGAAAGGAAATGAGGAAAAATGGAAGCCAGTAGAAAGAAATACCATGGCAGAAGAGGACATCTAATATGGGATTCCCCTCTGTATGCTGTTAATATGTTTTATTGTCATTGATTAATACAGAAGATGTTTTCTGTTGATAGCTTAACAGTGTAAAGCCAGGCTTGAAGAGCTATATACAGAGAGTAGTTGGAGCAAAAAAAAAAAAAAAAAAAAAAAAAAGACATTGAGATGTCCCCAGGAAACAGACACACCAGAATCTTGCTAGCAAGCCACGTCACCGTGGTGATTCTGAGATTAATAGAAATGGGTTAATTTAAGATTTAACAAAAAATACACTTAAGCTATTGGCCAAACAGTATTGCAAATAATATAGTTTAGTGTGATTATTTCAAGTCTGGGCAGTCTGAAAATGAACAAGCAGCCTCCAACAACACACTGGTGTGCCAATGTGGGGCTGATTACATCCTTGTAAAACCCAAGAAGCTTGAAAATGAATTCTAGACACAAAGGAAAAGAGATAAGAATGGCTTCTTGGTAGCTGGCATTTTTTTTTTGATGGGCTCTGTTTGTTGGTGGTGAGCAGGAGCACCATGGTTCCTTTAAAAGAAGTTTTCTTTGGTGATATGCAAGATATTTGTCAGTATTGCTATAGGATAGGGTCATTTCAGGTTCCCTATCCTCAGCTGCCCAAGGAACTAACTGGGGGCATCGCCGTGGGCTCCTGGGAGCCACTCTAGGTTCAAGTCTCTTGCCAACCCTAAGGTGGCTCCCTTAACTAAGAATTGTGCTTCCGTGTTCCCCTATCCAACCTTCCTTTAGAACCTTCATCTGGTGATGGATGGAGATAGAGACAGAGACCCACACTGGAGCACTGGACTGAGCTCCCATGGTCCCAATGAGGAGCAGAAGGAAGGAGAACATGAGCAAAGAAGTTGGGACCACGAGGGGTGCACCCACCCACTGAGACAGTGGAGCTGATCTATTGGGAGCTCACCAAGGCCAGCTGGACTGTGACTGAAAAAGCATGGGATAAAACCGGACTCTCTGAACATGGCGAACAATGAGGACTGATGAGAAGCCAAGGACAATGGCACTGGGTTTTGATTCTACTTAATGTGCTGGCTTTGTGGGAGCCTAGCCAGTTTGGATGTTCACCTTCCTAGATATGGACAGAGGGGGGAAGACCTTGGACTTACCACAGGGCAGGGAACCCTGACTGTTCTTTGGACTTGAGAGGGAGGGGGAGAGGAGTAAGGGGAGGGGGAGAAGGGTGGGAGGAGGGGAAGAAGGGTGGGAGGAGGGGGAGGGAAATGGGAGGCTGGGAGGAGGCAGAAACTTGTTTTTTTTTCCTTTTCTCAATAAAAAAAATATTAAATAAATAAATAAGAAAAAGAATAAAAGAAGTTTTCTTGATTTGGCAGTAGCAAAAACAAGTGTGGTTTCAAAATGCAGGCTCCCTGGTGTGTGCTGTCAGCATGAACTCTGGCCCTTTCAGGAGGCCAAGCACTTGAATAGGGTTTTTGAGTAGTGTGCTGCAAGTTATTTGGTGGCAACATGGGGCAACTGGTTACCAGAGTTGAGGCACTGAGTGTGGCTCCCTCCCAATAGTCCGAGATTCAGTGAACAGACCTCTGCCATTTGGATTAGGTGGAGCCAAAAGGCAAAGCAGCCTTAGGCCTAGCCACACCACTTTGCATTTTAAGAAGCTGTCCTGGTCAGAAAAGGAGTACAGATACACAATAAAGACAAATTCAGATGAAAATGAACTCTAAATGGATCACAGTGTTGGATAAATATATATAGCTTTGGGAGGGAGAAGAAAAAGAATATATTCAGTTATAAAAGAAAATGAATTGTTACAAAATGTCTTTGAGGAGATAAAATTGTTGTAATAAGAGTGGTGGGGCTGCGTCCCCAGCACCCCGGCCGCCTGGCTTGCTTATGCCCCAAAATAACAACACACAAACTGTATTCATTTAAACACTGCTTGACCCATTAACTCTAGCCCTTACAGGCTAATTCTCATATCCCGATCAACCCATCTCTAATAATCTGTGTAACATCAGTCTTACCGGGAAAGATTCAACATGTCTGACCTGGCAGCTTGCTTCCTGGCATCTGGCCCAGAGAGGGGAAGCATAGCGTCTCTGAGCTCACTTCCTCTTCCTCCCAGCATTCTGTTCTGTTTACTCCTCCCACCTATGTTTTAACCTATCAGGGCCAAGCAGTTTCTTTATTGCTTAACCAATGAAATCAACAGATTGATATATGACACTCCCACATCATAAAATTCAGAGTTATAGATAATAGGAGTAAAGAAAAATAAGCCACATAAAGATAAAATATACAAAGCGATTCTTGATTATGTATCTTATTGTGTTTTCTCTGAATTTTTTATTGTGAATGAGCTAACTACACAGAGATATTTCATTGTATAGACTGCTAAGTTAAACCAACATATATATTTTAAAGTTATCTTGACTTCAAAATTTGGGTCTAAAGATTTGTTGTCTTGGAAAAGAGATTCCTTTGTTTCCACAAAGGATGAGAACTTGTGGGTTCCTTCCAGACTAATGTTGTTTGATGGTCCAAGATCCCCCCAAAAGTTACTGTGAACACCCCCCAAAATTACTTCACCCAACAAAAAGCAGGAAGTTGTGGAAAGAACTACATCCTAATTCCCTAAATATTGTTTATAAATGTGTTTATATTTAAAGGGGCATTTGCTATAGAGATGGGTACTTTGCATTGGTATAGATCTTTGTTCAATGATACAAATTTTAGGTCAGTTTTGTTATTTGTACATTTATTCTCTTGATTAAAGTGTTGTATTTGTGAAGCTCATTTAAAAATGTAGTGTATAATTAAGAAATATAGGCTAATAATAGTCATCTACAATGATCAAGATTGTCATGTTAGTTCGGTTTTCTAGATATATAGAGATATATTTCAGTTAGATAATCTTCAAACCTTTCAAAGATTAACAGAATATGGCATTTACAATGTTTTAAAAACTTAAAACTTTTCATGACACATCTACTCCTGGCAGCACCAGTCTACTTTGAGAGGATGATGGACATCAAAGAGTCTCCTCATGGAGTTTGTTAATCATGAGTATAAGAAACTGTTCTTACCTGAACTGCCTGACTGGACTTGCAGAACTCATAGAAAAATGACTACTGAAGATGTCTGAAGAAGGTGAGACAGTCTTTCCGGGTTCCTGTGTCATGAACAAGTCTGCCAGACATTCTGCAGGATACAGAAGAATGTGACTGACAAACTACCAATATACATGGAACTGTCTTTGAAATTTTTTGCTTCATGGAAAAGTCTGCCGGATACTATGTGCCTATGGGCTGAAAATGGGAAGCCTCAAAGTTACAGAAGAAATTTGACTGTCCAGGCAGCGAGATGTCTGTCAATTCTGGAATTTTAGAAGCTGCTTACAATGCACTTCCTGTTTATTTATGTAATATATCCTTCTGGAGTCTTTGATGTCTTTGAAGGAGTTGAAGAACAGGTACCTACAATTATAATGTTACTTAGTTAATATAAAAGATAAAGTAGATACAAATATTGTAACTATAGTTCTTGCTTGATAACTGTTTTGTTATATGCAATCTTGCTATGTTAAAGTTAAAACCTTACTTTTTAATTAGAAAGAAATGGGAAGGTAATGTGGGATTCCCCTCTGTATTCTGTTAATCTGTTTTATTGCCATTGGTTAATAAAGAAGCTGTTTTCGCTCAATGGCTTAACAGAGTAAAGCCCAGATGACAGACAGAGAGAAAGAAAGATAGATAGATTAGATAGATAGATAGATAGATAGATAGATAGATAGATAACCCACAGGAGACAGATGCACTGGCACCTTGCCAGCAAGCCACAGCCATGTGGTGATACACAGATTAATAGAAATGGGATAATTTAAGATATAAAAGTTATCCAGAAATATACATAAGCTACTGGCCAAACAGTATTGCAGATAATATAGTTTCTGTGTGGTTATTTTGAGTCAGGGCAGTTTGGAAATGAACAAGCAGCCTCTATCAACACACATCAGTTTTCAGACTAACCACACAAGACCTTTCAGAAGAGTCTCACAACTCACACATAATTCCCTGGGGAGAAATACTGTTGACCAGACTGTTTTGAGCTAGTTAGAAAATTCTCCTCCTGAAGGCCCAAGTCTCACCCCATCCACCACCAGCTTGTCAAAAGCCCACAGCAGATAATCCAACAACCCCAGACTATACACAGCTGGATGGGGGAACTGTCCAGCACCACTCACAGAAAAGAGGCTGACAAACTGCTACTCAACTTCTATTACTGTAAACCAAGAGCTGGGGAATGGGAAGAGAAAATATTGGGATGCGGGAAAAAAGGAGAGGGCCACATGTCAACCACAACCATGACTGTGAGAAGCACTCATTTGGCACGTGCATGGGGGTCTCCTCCTTGCAAACTGCTTCACACGAGTGATCTCACAAGAGCCCTGCTGAGTGAATGAGCCCCAGGACCAGGAACTCACTTACTCAAAGCTCTGTGCACAGAATGCTACCTATCATAATGACATGTAGGTGTATGATATGTTATTGATCCTTCTCTAGACTGCAACTTCAAACAGAGACTCAGGCTTGCCAATAATTCAGTTTCTCATGAGAGGCTAACGTCCCAGAAGTATTTGTGCATGAACACTGAAATAAACACCTCAGGTAGCATGAGGTGGGTGGCTGGATGGGAACATGGATAAGTAAGGTGATGGGTGAAATCACAGATGGGTAGATGGGCAGAGAGGCAGTCAAATGGGCAAAAGGTGCCCAACTTTACCCTGACTTATTTGTCTGCCCCTACCTCTTGTTGCTGGGTCTTGAGGCCACTAGTCTCTTCCTCTCGGTCCTTACAGATCACATTCAAGTCCTCCAAGTGGTGCTTCAGTAGGAGCCAGTCACCCAGACATCCAGCAGTTTCTTTTTCTCCTGCCTCAGCATGTACAACTTCTCCAGTTGAGTCCGCTCCACTAGGAGCCAGCTGTGCAGACTGCTGGAGATGCTCTGCATAGAAAGATCCTGCCAGCATCCTCCTGCCACCCCTGCCTCCAGGAACACCTGCCTCCAGCTAACAATCTCTTTCACATGTAGGAATACTAGGTCCAAGGAACAAAAGTCCAAGAGATGCATGCTAAGGCTGCTTGCTAAGAAGCAGAAAGGCTAGAACCAGAGTTGGGGATGCTCCATCCAGAGAGAAATGAAGGCAGAGATGGTCATTTCACAACTTTTGGGGTCCATGTCAAGATGGGCACTTACTGATAGAAAACTGTCTCCTTGGTCAGCTCACTGAACTTCTCTGAGGTCTCAGTGTAATCAGCTTCCAAGGTCCTTAGTTCTGACATGACCTGTGCATGCTCCAACTTCAGTTTTTCATAGAAAGGATTTGGCTTGTGGTAGGGCCTAGAAACAGGAGGGAAAAACCTTGTGAACGGAGGCCTCAAGGATCATGGGAACTCACGTTGTATCCTGGTCTACTACAGTACAGTGAATGCCACATTCTGCATCCTATGTACAGGGACCTCCTGGTGCTTTTAAACTTGTTATCTTGGCACTAGATCAGCTGGCTTCACAGATGGAGGATGCCATGGTTGCTTGTGTTCACTGAGTATGCTTAGAGATTCAGTGTAGCTCTCCATGTTACCAGGGTTTATGCTACACGTCTTGCCACACCAAATATTACAATGACATTTCTCCCACTTCAGAAGAGCGATTCTAGGTCCCCTGTGACTATTACACAGGATTGTGATATAAATTCCCACAAGGGATTTCTAGGGGTCATAAAGGTGAGTATGTAGAACAAGAGTTGTGCTGCTTAAAGTGGGGTTTTCTGACCCCTAGCACCACCTGGAAATTGGTACAGGCAAATCCTCATGTCCCTTATAGACCCCTGGATCTCAGAGTCTCTATGGACAAACAAACCTGAAAATGCATGTCTGTGTGTGATGTGGGAGTGTCATATATCAATCTGTTGATTTCATTGGTTAAGCAATAAAGAAACTGCTAGGCCCATTTGATAGGCCCACCCTTAGGTGGGTGGAGTAAACAGAACGGAAGGCTAGGAGAAAGAAGCTGAGTCAGGAGTCGCCATGATTTTCCCATTCCAGGCAGATGCAAGTTAAGATCATTCCTGGTAAGCCAGCTCGTGGGCTACAGCAGATTATTAGAAATGGGCTAGTCCAGGTGCGAGAGCTAGCCTAGAAAAGGCTAGATAGAAATGGGCCAAGCAGTGTTTAAAAGAATACAGTTTCCGTGTAAATTATTTCGGGTAAAGCTAGCAGTGGGGGCGGCCGGGTGCCGGGGAATGCAGCCTCGCCGCCCCTACTACTACATGTGCGCACACACACACACACACACACACACACACACACACACAAATGAAAACCCAAACACATTAGGGAGAGGAAGCAGATAGGGGGAGAGAGGAAGAGAGAGAGAGAGAGAGAGAGACAGAGACAGAGACAGAGACAGAGACGGGGGAGGGAACCATGTTTGCATGCTAAAGAGATTCATGGAGCATTATTGTCTAAGAGTATGAGGCACAAAGCTAGAGAGAAACTGTGATGAGTCCCAGGACTTCTAGTCATGCACACAGATGGACAAAGTGGGAACAGGTCTCTCCAGCCTCTACCAGGAGCTTCCAGTACACAATCAGCTTTCAGACAAGTTCAAAGACTCACACAAACTCACAGCAGCTAGTATCCACCCAAGCCACCACCTGTCAGGTCCTTCCCAAATGCACTCAGGGATCGGGGAAGGGCACATGACTATCTCAATCCCTTAGCCGTGTGACTCAGACCACAGGGTCTGGTTTTCATTTGGAGAAAGAAGAACAGCTAGAGTCACCATCTCCCTCCCCCCAAGCTTCAGGTCTGCCTCTGCTGAGAAGAATTTAAGACATGGGTCACACTGGAGGTCCAGTACCTGAGAACCCAAAACCTTAAAGGAAAACGGTGAGGGTGACATTGCTGAAGGTCCCATGAAGACTGAAACAATGAATACCTGTTCTCCATGGTATCTTCACTGATGAAGGGCAGGTGGTCTTGCCGCTCATTTCTTTGGCTTGTAATCAGCTGTAGTTCTGTGGTCAGCCTCTCCACGTCCTGCTTCATCTGCTTCTTGGTGAGGAGCATTGGGTGGGATTTTGGCGCCATAGCAACATCTGTGGGTAGACAGAACACAAGAGAAACTGCACAGGACAAGACATAGAGGACAGACAGACACCCTGAGGCCCAAACAGAAAGATCAAGTTTGGAACCAAGTAACAAACCAAATTTTTTGGCCTGGTTGAGTTGCACCCTCTGTGGATGTAATCTTTCCCATCACTATGTAGAGATGTGGCTACATAAGAAGCCAGGGGTTTTCTCTGCCTCCCTACACGTTTCAGGTGAAAACAGAGGTCACCTCTTCAGGCTTATTCACAGAAGCACAGGATGCAACATGGCCCAGGGCCCTGAATCCTGCCCGTGGTTTCAGAAGCCAGGAGAAAAATGACAGCGTGCACAAGCACTCAGGTGCTGTGAGGACCCCAGATCTCCTGCCTGGAAGGGTTGTGAATTGAAAAGTCATGCAGGGGTAGAACATGATCAGCAGACTCACTAAGTCACCCCACTGACAGCCCAGAACATGGGAGCTGGCATCAAAGAGTCGATCTCTGCGCTAGTAGCATGCCTCTGAGAGTTGTTTGGCTACCCTAGAGAACTGTCTGCCCCCCTCAACTGCTGATCAGAACCCTAAGTGGGCCACTGTCAGGGAGAGGTGGTCAGAGGAATTCTGCTGTACAGTCTGAGGACACAATGTCTTAGCCAGAAGCACTTTTCTCTCCATGTGACTAGTGTCAGAGAGCCACTAAACCTAAAGGAAGCTGCTGAGTGTGAGGTGCAGTAAGGCATGTCCTAAGGTGGGGACACATTAGTGCCTCCCTGCCTTCTGCTGTTTGTTCTCCTTCTGTCCCCAAACCCCAGTAAATGTAGAAGCTAGATACTCCCACATAACAGTTTTGGCATGGCCAGCTCCTAGATTAGGGAACTGATAAACTAATGTTCTGGAATCCTTGAATTTTAGGAATTATGATAAACAAGAGATCCCATTTGCATCTCAGAGTCTCTAGCTCCTCTGCCCCATTACTGGAGGGCCCACCTCCTCCAGGAAGCTCAACATCTCCTTCCCAGGACTCACTGTTTCTATCCAGAGCATTCATTTGATCTTGTTTACTCTTCTGCATCTGTCTGCTTCCTGGATGATGATCACCATTCTCTCTCCAAAGTAGACTCCTCAGTCTTGACAACATCTCTAATGGTGTACCCTACAGGCACTGAAGGAATGGCCTAAAGGCAGCTGGTATTGCAACATCACTGGTGGCATCACGGGATTCCAGGAGCTTTCCAGGATACAATGGATTGTGCAGAGAAGAGACTGCTGATGTCATGGGGAACAGCCTTTGCCACCATGCAAATTAGCTTTCCTGAAATGACCAGAAGCCCAGGTTCCCTTTCCAGGAGCCTCTCTTAGAACACAGGAGAAGATCTTCAGCACCTCTTCATTTTAAAGCTAGAGTTCCCTTAGGCCCATAGTACTTTCCATTTTGAGAAATAAGCTATGCTTTTCAAATAGTGCCCAGAAACTTCTTGTTCCTTCCGTAATATCACTCTATTCATCAATATGAGCAATTAAATATTCCTGAGAAGTCATATTAGGATAAATGTAGATGAGAAAACATCATGTTCCCGAAGTACAAGTGTTTGACAACACATACAGAAGGACCTGCAGGGCTGGCTACAGTGTAGGATTTGGTTTAAGGGTACAGTCATAGAAGCCATAGGCTTAGATTTAGAAAACTGTCCCAGGTGCACTTAGAGAATGCACTCATCAGGCTACTGGCAAAAGTGTGATGATCCATTGGCAGAGGAAAGCTGAAATAGTGGATCCACCATGATGAAAGGCCTCAGGCTGAGTGTGATGCTCTCCACACTGCACGAAAGACACCAAAGCAAAATTGTAAGTTACAGGGCTTTCTAAGTTACAGTGAGGGTCTGACTAATGGAGGAAAAAGAAGGATAGTGGGAAAATAAAGACAACAACTATAGATATATCTCAGTTGGCAGAGTGCCTGCCTAGCATGTAGCAAGTCCTGTGTTCAATGACTAGTGCTGTCCTCACTGGTCTTGGTGGCTCCACTTATAATCTCAGCACTTGTGAAGTGTAAGCAGGATGACCTAAGCTCAAGGTGAACCTGCAAAGCCAGTGTGAGGACACCTTGGGAGACATTAGACCCTTCCTCAAAAAATAAACCAGAAACCAACCCTACCTTTAAGGCCTCACTTCCCAATCCTTTCTAATAAAAAGAACTTACCATTCTCCCTAACAGTCTTTCATCTTATGGAGATGTACTGGTAGGTAGAGTCATCTTTGTAATTTAAGGACATTGCTCTTGCCTTTCCTTAGATCCACATAGAGGCCGAATGAAAGTGGGTTTGGCCATATTATCTACTGAGTAATACCCACTTCTGCTAGCATAGTACAATGCCTATGACAAACTCATGTAACTATTGGCTATAAAAAAACAAAACAAGGAAGTTCACCTTTTTATCTGTGGGGCCTCAGACTACCAGGTGTCCCTGTTCCTGTGTTGAGGAAATCAACCCAGACTGGTGAGTGTGTGTCATCCTGGGGCAGACGGTCAGGGCAGGGAGCACAGGGCCCCTCCAGCTCCTGCTGCAGGGGCTTCTTTGATCCACAAGACCCTGCCTCCCCCAAGCCTACCCTATTGTCTGTGAGGTTCTTGGCCCAGGAACAGTTCCAAGACAAAAACAGATTTAAACAATACTTAGCCACAAACCCAGCCTTACAGAAAATACTAGAAGGAAAACCACAAACCAAGGAAGCCAACAACACCCATAATAACAGAAGCATCTAACAACCCTCCACCAGCACAACTAAAAGAAGGGAAACACACAAACACTACCACCAAGAAAAATAACCAGAGTTAGCAACCACTGGTCATTAATATCACTTAATATCAATGGACTCAATTCACCTATAAAAAGGCACAGGTTAAGAAAATGGACACGAAAACAGGATCCAACATTCTGCTGTTTACAAGAAACACACCTCAACCTCAAAGACAGACACTACCTCAGAGTAAAGGGTAGGGAAAAGGTTTTCCAATCAAATGGACCAAAGAAACAAGCGGGTGTGGCTATACTAATAGCTAACAAAATTGATTTCAAACTAAAATCAATCAGAAGAGATGGAGAAGGACACTTTATACTCATAACAGGAACAATTCATCAGAAGGAAGTCTCAATCCTGAATATCTATGCCCCTAATATAAAAGCACCCACATATGTAAAAGAAACATTACTAGAAATCAAAGCATACATCAAACCCCACACTGAACTTATAGGAGATTTTGACACTCCTCTCTCACCAATGAACAGGTCAACTAGACAGAAACGTAACAGAGAAATAAAAGAACTAACAGATGTAATGAACCAAATGGACTTAACAGGCATCTATAAAACATTACACCCAAACGGAAAAGAACATACCTTCTACTCAGCATATCATGGAACCTTCTCAAAAATTGATCACATAATTGGTAACAAAGCAAACATCCATAGATACAAAGAAATTGTAGTAACCACCTGTGTACTATCGGATCATCATGGAATAAAGTTAGAATTAAACAACAATTCTACCCCCAAAAATCCTAGAAACTCATAGAAACTGAACAGTCAACTACTGAACCATTTCTGGGTCAAGGAATACATAAAGAAAGAAATTACGGTCTTCCTTGAATTCAATGAAAATAAAGACACATCATATCCAAACCTATGGGACACTATGAAAGCAGCGCTAAGAGGAAAGTTCATAGCACTAAGTGCCCACATAAAGAAAATGGAGAAAGCACACATTAAAGACTTAACAGCACACCTGAAAGCTCTAGAAAAAAGAGGCAGATTCACACAGGAGGAGTAGAAGACTGGAAATAATCAAACTGAGGGCTGAAATCAACAAAATAGAAACACAGAATACAATCCAAAGAATCAATGAAACAAAAAGCTGGTTCTTGGAGAAAATCAACAAGATCGACAAATCCCTATCCAAACTAATCAAAAGGCAGAGAGAAAACATGCAAATTAACAAGATCAGAAATGAAAAGGGAGACATAACCACAAACACAGAGGAAATTCAGACAATCATTAGATCTTACCACAAAATTCTGTAAGCCACAAATTGGAAAATGTGATAAGTACCATATACCAAAATTAAATCAAGACCAGGTGAACAATTTAAATAGACCTATAAGTCATGAAAAATTAGAAACTGTCATCAGAAATCTCCCTAGCAAAAAAAGCCCAGGACCAGGTGGTTTCAATGCAGAATTCTACCAGAACTTCCAAGAAAAGCTAACACCTATACTCCTTAATGTGTTTCACAAAATAGAAACAGAAGGGTCATTGCCAAACTCCTTTTATGAAGCTACAGTTACCCTGATATAAAACCCTCACAAAGACTCAACCAAGAAAGAGAAGTAGAGACCAATCTCACTCATGAACATCGATGAAAAAATTCTCAATAAAATACTGGCAAACCAAATCCAGACTACATCAAAAAAAAATTATCCATTATGATCAAGTAGGCTTCATCCCAGAGATGCAGGGCTGGTTCAACATACGAAAATCTATCAATGTAATCCATCATATAAATAAACTGAAGGATAAAAACATATGATCATTTCATTAGATGCTGAAAAAGCATTTAACAAAATTCAACACCCCTTTATGATAAAGGTCTTGGAGATGCCCTTCTTCCTCCCTTCCACGGGGCCACGGGATCAGCCAGCTCAGCCTGTTTGGGCACTGGGACAGGTGCTGGGGACAAAGGGCGGTAGGAGTTCCTTTGCTTTGGTAGCCTGCCTGCAGAAAGGTAGGCCTTTTGTCAGCGAGGTCCATGGCCAGCAAGGGAACCTGATCCTGTTTCAGAAGACCCATTGGATAGCATTTGTAGGAGGAGATGGGCAGGCGCCAAGGCAAGAATTCCTCCATCAATCTGAAACAATGTGAAAACACCAAAACCCAATGATTTTGCAACAGAAGGACTTGAACACCATAATTCAAAAAAGTGGAAAAAATTGACATTATGAAAGCAATAGAGTCCCTTAAACAGCATGTAAAAAATGCCCTTATAGAAATGGATGAGAAGTATAACAAAAAGTTAAAGAAATGAGTGAATACGTAAATGATACCCTGGGAAACCAAGAAAAAAACGATCAAACAGGTAATGGAAACAGTTCAAGAATTGAAAACTGAAATGGAAACAAGGAAGAAAACACAGAGGGCCGGCTGGATATGGAAAATCTAGGTCAATGAGCAGACACTAAGGAAACAAGCATAACCAATAAAATACAAGAGATAGAAGAAAGAATCTCAGATTCTGAAGACACCATGGAGAAAATAACGCACTGATCAAAGAAAACAGCAAAGCCAACAAGTTCTCATCACAAAACATTCAGGAAATATGGGACACAATAAAAAGACCAAACTTAAGAATAATAGGGATAGAAGAAGAAGAAGAATTACAGCTCAAAGGCCCAGAAAATATATTTAACAAAATTATGGAAGAAAACTTTCCCAACATAAAGAAAGATATTCCAATGAATATTCAAGAAGCATACAGAACACCAAATAGACTGGATTAAAAAAAATATCCCCATGCCATATAATAATCAAAACACAAAATATACAGATTAAAGAAAGAATATTAAGAGCTGCAAAGGAAAAAGGGCAAGTAACTTATAAAGGTAAACCTATCAGACTTACACCGGATTTCTCAATGGAAACCATGAAAGCCAGAAAGTCCTGGACAGGGGTACTGCAGAAACAAAGAGACCATGGATGCAAGCCCAAACTACTATACCCAGCCAAGCTATCGTTCACTATCAATAGAGAAAATAAAGTATTCCAGGATAAGAACAAATTGAAACAATACGTTGCCACATCCAGCCTTACAGAAAGTAATAGAAGGAAAATCACAACCCAAGGAATCCAACATTGCCAGAACTGCCCACAATAACTCAGACATCTAGCGACCCTTCACCAGCACAACTCGAAGAAGGGAAACACACAAACTCTACTACCAAAAACAATAACAATAACCGGAGTCAACAACCACTGGTCATTAATATCACTTAATATTCACCTATAAAAAGGCACAGGCTAAGAGATCAGATATGA